TGGACATAATAATGAATTTCCCTTTAATCTTTTTTTTTAAAAACTACAAACTAGACCAAAATTAATTGGTTCACACAACTTTTAATGTTGGAGGATGGAATTGAGTAAATTCACAATGAAAGCTGCCAAACCGGGTAATTGAAACCATAGATTTATTTGTATGGTTCTTCCATTTCAGCTATACAGTAAATTAAACACAAAGCCAAAATTTTAACATCAGGTTTGAAGCAGCTTATTAATATATTCTGCCATCTTGTTAACATGTTAGGCTTTCTTTTTTTTACGCTGGCTCCCTCGGCCAATAAAGTGAGATGAGCGCCGCAACCCCAGAGTTTTCCACGACGGGACCTAATGGTGAGGGGTCCCTCTACCTTTTGTTGTTTAGTCGTTTAGCCGTGTCCGACTCTTCATGACCCCATGGACCAGAGCACACCAGGCACTCCTGTCTTCCACTGCCTCCCGCAGTTTGGTCCTTTACCTTTACCTTACAATAAAAAACTACAAAAAAAACTTTTTAAAAAACTTTTTTTTAAAAAAAAGAAAGAAAGAAATGAACATGATAAAGTAATAAAATAAGACTAGGCAGAGGATTAAAAGAAAGTGCTGCTTAATTTTATAAAGATAATTACCTGACACAAAAAGCAGCTAACAAGAAAATTTAGCTTTGGAGTTCATCCAAGAAAATTAAACCCATGTTGTTACTGCACAGCCACCAAATCCAGAAAATGAACCTGGGCCAATGTAACCTTGTCAGAAAATGGGGAACACTAATCAGCTGCTTAGGAAGTAGCCCTGAAGAACTTTTACAATTATTTAGTTAATTCCAAACATTTATGCCACACCTTGAAACAGATGTTCAGCACAACTAGCAGTTTGAAAGCACGTCAAAGTGCAAGTACCTCCGGCGGGAAGGTAAACGGCGTTTCCGTGCACTGCTCTGGTTTGCCAGAAGCGGCTTAGTCATGCTGGCCACATGACCCGGAAGCTGTACCCCGGCTCCCTCGGCCAATAAAGTGAGATGAGCGCCGCAACCCCAGAGTCGTCCGCGACTTTGCACTTTGACATGCTTTCGAACTACTAGGTTGGCAGGAGCAGGGACCGAGCAATGGGAGCTCACCCCGTCGCGGGGATTCGAACTGCCGACCTTTTGATGAGCAAGTCCTAGGCTCAGTGGTTTAACCCACAGCGCCACCTGCTTCCCAATCTAATATATTAGTTTCACCTTTTAAGTTGAATTACTGAAATAAATGAACTTTTCCAAGATATTCTAATTTTTCGAGTTTCACCTGTATTATCCCTATAGCCCTGTGAGTTGAGGTAGGTTAGGCTGAGAGTGAGTGACTTGCCCCAAGTCCCCCAGTGATTTTCATGGCTGAGTGGGGATTGGAATCATGGTCTCCCAGCACTCTAACCACTATACCCCACTGGCTCATTTAATAGGCGAAGTGCTAGAAGTCAGCTAGGAAGGGCATCACAGGGCAAGGTCTACAACTCAGTGGTGGTGGTGGGGCACCAGCAAGCTCTGAAGTTCCTCCTCTTCCTCCCTGTCCCCTCAATCGCCTTTTGAGTTTTCAGAGCTGGCAGGCATGGTGCGCATAAAAGCAACAGGGGAAGTGAAAAACCACGGATGAATTTGCTATGCATGATGGCAGTGGCAATTCTTCAGGCGCGCAACCATATTGCTTTTCAACCCACTTCTCATGCAACAGCCTCATTTTAAGCAGGCGCTCAAAAGACGTGCTTTTAACCTCAAAATCTTTCCCTCCTAATTTGCAATATACAGAATCGCAAACACATTGCAGCCTCAAGTAAGTACATTTTTTTTAAAAAAATAAAAAATAAAAAAATGGTAATACTCCCCTCCCACACACCCCCTCCCAATCCCGAAGGTTTAATTTTCATGATTATGTTAGATTATGAGTCATTTTAAATCATGGTATCCAGTAGAGACTGCTCCTACTCAGCAGCTCTTTTCAACAGTTGTTTATGGTAGTTTCAGCCTCTTTCTGCCTCTCGGAGGCTCTTTATTTTTAAAGCAAGGCAGACAAGGCCTAAAATTATTCCATTAAAGAGGTGCAATTTTTGTAATGGGACTTAGAGTGCTCTGCAGAAGTGCAGGCAAGTTTCTTCAATATCCTGAGCATTATTCGCTCATTTAGTTAAATGATGTTTCTAATTCCCTGGTAATTACATGTAATGAGGCACTCTTTCTCTTCTTGATGAGACTTTAGCTTAATATGAGATGTCGTCTTTTTTCCCCTCCTTTTTTTTTAAAGGGATAATTACCCTTCCCAGGAAAAGTGGGGTTTGTTGTGCAGAATATAGCAAATTATTTTATTTCCTGCCATCTTGACTGCCAGTAAATTATAAAATTAAGTTTCAGAGAAGCATTAGCACCATTTTGGAAAAAGGCTTGAGATTCTATATTGCACCCCCCCCCAATCTCCTTTATTCATCTGCTGATGTCCTCTGGGACCATTGGGCTATTATTTAAAAAATAGATGTTTTTCTGCCAAACCCCAGTATTTGGTGGCTGTGTGGTAGCAACATGGGTTTAATTTTCTTGGATGAACTCCAAAGCTAAATTTTCTTGTTAGCTGCTTTTTGTGTCAGGTAATTATCTTTATAAAGTTAAGCAGCACTTTCTTTTAATCCTCTGCCTAGTTTTATTTTATTACTTTATCATGTTCATTTCTTTTCTTTTCTTTTCAAAAAGAAAGCCTAACATGTTAACAAGATGGCAGAATATATTAATAAGCTGCTTTAAATCTGATGTTAATATTTTGGCTTTGTGTTTAATTTACTGTATAGCTGAAATGGAAGAACCATACAAATAAATCTATGGTTTCAATTACCCGGTTTGGCAGCTTTCATTGTGAATTTGCTCGATTCCCTCCTCCAACATTAAAAGTTGTGTGGACAAATTAATTTTGGTCTATTTTGTAGGTTGTTTTTTTAAAAAAAAAAATTAAAGGGAAATTCATTATTATGTTCAGTTGCCTGCCATTTTCATCCTCTAGGTTCAACACATTTACCTGTGTTCTATGCTTACATGTGCTAGATAAATATGACTGGAGCAGGAGGCACAATTCTAATCAAGTGATCTGATCCAGAGCCCACATTTGATAAGCTGCTTTTATTGTCCCTTGCACAAGGGGGCATCCCTTTACAGGGCAGGGGAACTCGTCATCTTCAAAGAGACACATGCATGGAGCTGCCAGTCCGTTGAAAGGAACAAGGAAACAAGGGAGCGAGAGACCGCTTCTTGCAATATTTTGCAAATACTACACATGCAGGAGACAACTGCTTACTTGTATGTTAATTGAGCGGATCAGGCTTTAGTGTAAAACAAAATAGCATTTTCTAAGTAAGGCATTGCTTGCAAAGGAACAATATAGGCATTTTTTTTAAATTTAAACTCTCCACATAACAACCCCAGTTGCTGGAAAGGTCTCAGGCAGGAATCAAGAAGGGAGAGAGAGAGAGAGAGAATGAATATTTAGCCATTATGCTGAAAGAGCAGAAGTTTGTATTCCTGTCCTAAACGCCAAGTTATATATGATGCTCAGCCACATATCATTTGTCTCTGATGTTTTTTCTTTTGTCAAATGTTTCTGCCATGTTTGCAATCTAAAGTCGTGTGTGTGTGTGTGTGTGTCTGTGTGTCTGTTTCTTTCTTAATCCTTGCTTTTCCTGCATTAACATCCCTCTCACCTTGGCTGCTGTTCACCGCGTGGGAGCAAAAAGTCATGGCGAGAAAAGCAGCTTGGAGCATGTGCACAGATTATCTCCCCAAGCAGCTCTCCCTCTCTAGACTGCAGCCTCTGTGAGGACAGTGCGCATTTCTGCAGCAGTGTTGTGCAAAAGGACAACAAACTGCGCAACGGAACATCACTTCATGTGCGGACCTAATGTCCAAAGGGAACTCTTTCCACTCTCTCCAACCTTTTTTACAGGGGTGCGAGGGAAGATGCTATGGCGGACCTGCAGAGCTTGGAACATAAATAGCATTTGATGTCATATTTGTTGTGCTGCAAGTCAGTTGCTTTTGGCATCCCTCTTAGGACTCTTCCTCTTCAGTTGATGCCAGAAGCTCACAAATTCCTAGATGTTCACACATAAACTTTGGTTTATAGAACTGGGGTCAGATCTTGGTGTCGGCAGCTATGTATCGGTGCACAACTCTAGATCAGTGAACTTTTGTTCATAGCATTGAACCATATGTCATCTTCCATCTGCTGACATGACTGATACCTCATGGACGCTAGTCATTATAGTCTGATATTTAACATCCACTCTTTTTCTTCCCCCACACTCCTATACAGTAGAATATTCAGTTTGGAGTGTTATAAATGCCTTTATCCAGTCTCATTGACATTTTAAACAAACGGTGATATATTTAGTACAATAATTACAGTTATTTGATTACTTTTCTCTTAGCCTCAAGTAGAAGGCAACTGACATATGTGAGTGCCCCTGAGACTAATACTCTGTAATAAACCAACATTATTTATTACAAGATGCATTTTATTAATAGGAATTGGCAGTAATTAATTCACTCAAGTTGATGTTACTAATGATTACATGTAATTCATGAAATATTTATGTAAGAAGATGGTGGATGAAAATGATGCAAAGGTCATTTTGCTAATTAGTTAAATATCTGCTGCACTTCACATGAAATGTTTTACCTCTGTATTGTTTCAGCTTTGTTGGAATAATACGGCTATGAAATTGGGGAGGGGGATCCCTAAAGAAAACAAAATGGTAAAGATTATGATTATTGGTTTGAATACATGCTTGGGCTGTTTCCATTCTTTATTCATTTCCCCCCGTCATAAATTCACTTCCTCGTTCTGAGTGAAAGATCCCATTGAGAGATAAAGCCACCTCAATCTAATTGAGGTTATCGGTTTCTGGTGTGTCTCCCAGTTTAAGGATAAGTTAATATATCTTTGTCTGTTTAACTCGCTGCTGCCGCCTGCCTTTTGAATCAAATAATGCCTGCCCAAATTAATAGCAGGCATCTGAACCGGAAAGATCATGGAACCAAAGTTGCTCTCTTCGATTTTCATATCAAAGCTCTTCCTGACATCAGCAAGCACCAGGTTAGTCTTTTATGCCTATCAATTTTGCTTTTATCCAGGGCTTCAATTATACTGTTTTTTGGTGTGTGTGTTTTATAAAAAAGAGTAGATTTTGTCTCAAGAAGGGCCATGGCTATACCAGGTCCCTTTACCATAGCCATGAAAACGTCCAATGGTATCTGTGATGGCTATTTGTGGGTGTAGTGGTGAGTTGCAGTCTAGCCTAGAGGTTACTATGGCAACCCATGTTGTAGGCCTCTTCTTCTGGGTAGGGGGGGATCCTTCTAGCTACAAGAAAATTGGACCCTTTGACCTACCTGGTCTGCAGTTGCTGCAAGAAGCAAATAAAGGTGGCTTTGAAAAACAATAACATTGGGGCGGTGGTGGGGAGAGTCTATATGCAGGATGCTTCTCACAATGAGGACCAACATCACAAAGATGTTTCTGGGAACAGCCTTCTTGCTGCCATTTTGTGTCTCGCTCATCATCACATCTTTGTAATCTGGTGGAGATTGTTCCCAAGGTGATACTGCTCACGGGTGTGAGACTCTGGTCCTAAATTGATTTAAGAAGGTTTATATACCACTTTTTAGACTTACCCTGGGACTGAGTTCCATGAATGGAGGGCCACTGCAGAAAAGGCCCTGTTCCTTGTGCCTGCCAGCTGAATAGCTTTACCGGTGGGCATCTGAACAGGGTCACTGACGCAGATATTAGGGAACATGTAGGCTGGTATCAGAGCTGGTCTATTAGAATGAAGTGATAGCCTTAAGTGTCAGATGTTGGGGGGCAGAGATGCAGTCTCTTGGTTGAGCCCCTAACCATTCCACTCTGTTGGAGGATAGATATAGCATATCCTGTGTTCCCCGAACTAGTCTGCTGCTCCCAGGTGTGCTGTCCTGCTTCTAGTACGTAAGATTCATCTGTCAGTTTATTTGGCTTCTGTATGTGGAATGTCACTTTTTGCCCTTTGCTTCAGGTAGCAAAATGTCTTGGGCTGGCCTTGACAGATATCATCAGGCAATCCCTAGGGCAATCTGGTCCCAACCCATTTAGAGCCTTAAAGGCTTTTGCTTTGAATCAAGCCTGGAATTGTACTGGCAATCATTGGAACTGGTGAAGTCTCAGCTTGATAGGATCTGATTGCTTGGCTCCAGCCCAAAGATGGTGAGATGCCTTCTGCACCAGCTGTGGTTTCCAAGCTGACTTGAAAGACAGCTCACACAATGGCCTCTGTGTGGAGCTAGTAGCAGGTGTTCTGACTCTACAGCAAGAACAGAGAGGAAGCCTCAGGTCTAGAGGCCAAATGCAACCTCTGTGTCTCTCCACCTGGCCATACCCCATCCACACACTTCAGTGACCCTGCTTTGTACCCTTCTTGGGAATTTTTGCTTGGCTAGAATGTTTCCCTGAACTCCAATAATGCCTCCTACTTGTCTGGATAGAGGAGAGAGAGGAGTTTATAGGGACTAGCCAACTGTACGGAGGAAAAATTCACATTTGTTGCTCTGCCCACCACTCTTATGTGACCCCTTGGAAGGTTGCTCAGAAGGGAATGCATCCCTTGGGCTGGAAGAGGTTCCCCACCTTTTCTCATCAGCTTTTGCCATGTTGCAGCATAGTATTCAAAGAAGCAGGAGAGAGTAAGGTCCTTGAAGGATGTTTCCTTCCAATACATATGGCTGGTTAAGCATGATCACGCTAATGAGATCCAATGGGTTTTATGGATTTGAAAGGCAAATATAGACAAAAGAATGAACAGAAATCCAGATTCTGTGTGCGTATGTATGTATGTATATATATATGGAAGTTTTGCAAGGGTAGTATTTGATGGACTGTGGCTTACGTTATTGACAAAAAGCCAAGAGTCAACAGATAATAAAATGGAACACAGGGATATGCACATATCGTTTGGCTGTCAAGTGAATTCCATCCTACGGTAGCAGCTCATGCTGTTACAAACCATTTTTGGTCTGTATTTCAGTTACAAACAGTCTTCGAGATGGACAATTGGCTCTTAAAAGTGAACAGTTCTGAATTGCCTCAAATAAGCTTCCTATAACAAGCCACTGGTTCTGATGGAACAAATTTAAAATGCCTGTCTCCTTATCTTCTGTCGACATCATTTTTCAGAAGGGGCAACCAGCTCAAATTAAATAGTTTCTGTGCAGACAGTCTGTCTGTCTTATTGGGCTAAGAATGTTGCTCAGTTTGAAGAACTATACTTCAAAAATGAAGATGAATTAGAAGTTCAGCAGAAATTAGAAGAAGTATAATGAGAATGCATTTAAAAATAAGCAAAGACTTATCTTTCTGCCATGTAGAAGTCCAAACTGGTGTAGCTTAACAGTTTCCAGAGGAATCTTATTTTTATTTAGGTATCATTTATAATCTGGGATGAATTATTTAGCAAAAAAGAAGTGTGTGTGTGTGTGTGTGTGTGTGTGTATATATATATATGAGATTTAGGTTAATTTGAATCTGTGTAGCCTGTGACTATATTGTACCAATAAATCTATATTAACTTCCAAAATTACTTTTTGAAATAGCTCACATGCTTTTGCTATAATCCGGAGATTCTAAGCTTAATTATTTAAAATAAATTAATCAAAGGACACAATTCAGCCAGAATTAAGCACATCTTATTTCTGAATCACTACATAGGAATAAATAGAACTTGAATGTACTTAAATTTTGGCTAGATCTTGTCCAATGTTTCTAGTTCTCAACATTCAAAAAGAAAAAAAGAGAAAAATATTTATTTCTCTTTTAGAATAAGCACAACATATCCAACAATTTGATATCTGTCATATTAATGAGCATTGTACTGTATATGGGTCTAATTTGTGACAGGCATGCATATGATGAATAGTGAGGCAGAAATATATTTAATAAATATTTCAATAAATATGTCAGCAATGATGCTTTTTATCCCTTTACTGATCATTTAAACAGTCCCCAAATAACAAACAAAGTATTCTTGAAATTATGCAGGAAACTGTGACCTTGGGACATTATTTCTTTCCACTATACTCTCATCACCTCTGAATTGGTTCTTAGAATTTCACAGCATCCCTGATGGTTTGCTAGCAGCTTTAAATCAAAACAAAGATAACTTTCCATCCTGTTGTAAAAATGCCACGAGAAGATTAAGGTTGCTTAGGATATAGTTTTCCTTTCTTTTATGTGTTTTGATCTTGTAGGAAATGGGAGGAAAAACACCTCCTTCATTTGAAATCTTTTTCTGGAAGCCAACTTTTTAAAAACAAACAAACAAACCCAGAAATAGAGCTCCTTTTTCAAGGAGCTCAAAATGATGCATATTGGGGCTTTCCTATCAAGCTGAAAAATACTGACCGAACCAAACCTCCATTTAGTTACTTAAAAGACAATAGAAAAATGGTTCATGCATGCAGCCTGGACCTCTGAGCCAGATATGTAGACCCATTGATGTGCTTCCATTGTGCCAGAGTCTTCAACACTGAGATGGGGGTGTGTGTAATATTTAGTAGTCATAGCTGTTACTTTAGGCTGGGGATGGGGGCAGTTTATGTGCTAAACATGTGCAGGATGTCATCTTCTCAGCCCTGGCCTTGTGGGTTTTTCTTGATCAGTCCTGATGCTCGACTGGGCTTTACATGGGAGGGGATGAGAATGAAATTGCTGGCTCCTGTACATGCAATCACTCCTTGTCTTCTAATAAAAGATAAAAGCTCAGGTGGATCAAGAACACTTCAGTCACAGCCTGGATGGGCTGCCAAGTGAGTAACAAAGAGTTGTTGAATCACAGAACTTGTCATTGGTTGCTTGGTACACTGTAACCTGCCGCACAGTGGTATAACCTGCGGGTCCTTAGCACAAGTGCTGGGATTTTGGGAGATTTCAGCCCAGGAACTGGGGAAGCTGTGACCCTAAAGATGTTGCTCCCATCTGTCCCATCTAGAGTGACCAGTGGTCAGGGATGATAGTAACTAGTCTAACAACATTGAGACAGCCACGGTTTCCACATTCTTGCTTTAGCCCTATTGTTTTAGAAATCATGAACACACAAAAAAGTTTTCTTTTCTCTGGGTTGCCATACTAAACCAACTAATGTTAAGTAAGGAAGGTTTGATCCTTGGGATCTCTGACATGCACATCTGGCAGTATCCCCATTAGGATGGGCAATAGGCCAGGCTGGACTGGGGTGTTGTCCAGGGGTTTTCGTTGGGTTTATTTGTTGCTATTATTGATATTTGGTGTTGGAGGAGACTCTTGAGAGTCCCATGGACTGCAAGAAGATCAAATCTATCCATTCTTAAGGAAATCAGCCCTGAGTGCTCACAGGAAGGACAGTTCCTGAAGCTGAAACTCCAATACTTTGGCCACCTCATGAGAAGAGAAGACTCCCTGGAAAAGACCCTGGTGTTGGGAAAGATGGAGGGCACAAGGAGAAGGGGACGACAGAGGACCAGATGGTTGGACAGTGTTCTCGAAGCTACCAGCATGAGTTTGACCAAACTGCGGGAGGCAGTGGAAGACAGAAGTGCCTGGCATGCTCTGGTCCATGGGGTCACAAAGAGTCGGACATGACTAAGTGACTAAACAACATTATTGATATTAAATTTTTGTATCTTTATTTTTAGATTTTACTATGATTGACGTTTATGATGTGGAAATTGTTCAGCTTTGTTGTGTACTTTTTGACTACATAATTATGTTCGTGATTATGTAAATATTCTCATGTTGCAAGCTGCCTGGAGCATGGTTTTAATTACAGAAAGGCAGCATACAAATAAAATGGTGATGGTGATGTTAGAAATGTGAGACCTTGTGTTCTAGAAGTGGCCGAGCACAAACTGACCAAGGTGCTGTGAGCTCCTGTATATGCACACAATCAAGTACCGGTATATGCACACAATCAAGTATTTGTGACAATGCTGCCAGTGCTGGTAGACAGTTGCTAAAACTTGCTAGGTTATCATAACTAATCGTGTTCCAGTGGTCCTGCTAAACTGAATAGTGAATTTTCTGCTAGCCAAATCATTGCTACCACTGGATTTGCACACTCTGAAAATGCCATATTATACACGATAGCTAGTTTCTACATGGACTAGTTAGTCATAACCATGTGGATTTCTTAACTCTCATGGATCAACATAGAAGCTATTATTCCTTAAATTAAGATAATGCCTTGAAATATTTTATCAGAATTTGCAAGTTCTCACGGTGTCAATCCCCTCCCTATCCCTGCCAAATCTCCCTGTTTCACAAAAATGGACTCTGGGTTTTATATTTGTGTTGAGGTTTCTTTGCCATGTGTCAGCAAAACGGGCCTCAACATTTGTCCCTAAATTTCTGTGTCATTTACTTTTGCTTGCTCAAGATGCCTGAAGATTGGGATAGCTCTTCAGTATGATGCGAACTGTTCTAAATGTAATGTAGCTTTATAGATTAGTATTAAATTCTTTGGCAGGGTGAGCCCAAGCAAGTAGTAAGCTAAGAAAACAACAGATCAAGCTCCATCTCTCGGAATTGTAATACTAAAACCAACTATGTGTTAAACTGCCTCTGAAAGAGTTTACATGTATTTCTGGGTTTTGTGAGCTTGCTGCCCATTGCAAAATCCTGCAGTCTATTTTGGCAGAGACTTAAAAGCCCTATTAACTGTAACATGGAAATATAATCATATTTAACAGGAAAATCTTTATGGATAATTTAAAGAAAAAGCAGCCTCCAAAGCAGACAAAGACTCTAACATATAACAGAATGGAATATTTGTTAAATGTCCCCCCCCCTTTTGAAAATGCATTTGTAACCATTATTTTGGTGTCAGGTTTTCAGATGAAAGCTGTTTACCCTTTTGCATCACTAGCTACACAGTGTGTAATCCAAGGAGGGTGGCCTACTGATCTTTTTAGTTGTGTTTAATGCTGAATCCACATCATGTCGGGAAATATCCAGAGGTTGCCTAGTATCTTAGTCTATGGCTGTGTGCATACTTTTAAAGCGTACCCAAAGCACATTTTTGCCCTCAAAGAATTTGGGCACTCTAGTTCATTCGCCACAGCGCTACAATTCCTAGCAACCCTTTAGAAACTACAGTGACCATATTTTTTTGAAGGGAGAAATCTGCTTTGAATGTGCTTTATAGAAGAGCAAGTGTGGACTATAGGTTGAACTCTGACCTGGGAGACCAGGGTTTGAATCCCTACTCAGCCATGAAGCTCACTGGGAGACCTTGGGCCAGTCCCCATCTCTTTGCCTAACCTACCTCATAGGGTTGTTGCGAAGATGAAATGAGAAGGAGAGCCATGTACACCACTTTGAGCTCCTTGGAAGATGAAGGTGGTATATAAATGTAATAAATAAATAAAATATTGTATATCATCAGGGACATTTATTTTATTTTATTTTTATTTTACATATACAAAAGTATAACAATACAACCATGCAAATCAACAGTTACAATATTCCTCTGAATTTCTGGACTTCCCACCTCCCCTCCCCGATGGGTGCCATTATCACACCTTTCCTGCTGCATTTTTTCAATAGTCTATGTTTTATATAACTCCATTGTCTCCATAGTTCTTGATACATTACAAGTGTTATTGCAATCCTGCTATTCTTTTCATTTGCTTACAATGGTCTGCAAGATAAATTATAAATTTCCCCCATTCTTTGTTGAAGTCTTCTTGGTTCCTGAGCTTTCCAGTCAGTTTTGCCATTTCAGCATAATCCAGCAGTTTAACTTGCCATTCCTCTCTGGTAGGGAGTTTGTCTTCTTTCTAGCTCTGGGCTAATAGAAGAAGAAGAAGAGTTTGGATTTGATATCCCGCCTTTCACTCCCTTTAAGGAGTCTCAAAGCGGCTAACATTCTCCTTTTCCTTCCCCCCCCCACAACAAACACTCTGTGAGGTGAGTGGGGCTGAGAGACTTCAAAGAAGTGTGACTAGCCCAAGGTCACCCAGCAGCTGCATGTGGAGGAGCGGAGATGCGAACCCGGTTCCCCAGATTACAAGACTACCGCTCTTAATCACTACACCACACTGGCTCTCAATAATAGCATCCTTGCGGCTGTATGTCTAGAGTCCCCAGGTGAAGTACCTGTTAGAGTGCTTCTGGAATGACTTGTTTGGAACCCCACACATCATGTGTCTGTCCCTTTCAGGATCTGCTCCACTCTGGATTCTGCTCAGGAAGGGCTTTGACTTAGGGCATAAGTTGGCAGCCTTTTAGGGCTCGTGGACACATATGCCAACTGAAGAAACTATCAGGGGCACCACACACATGGGTGTAACCAGCGGGTGCAAGGGATAGCTGTCAACTTTCAGATTTGAAAATAAGGGATCAGCAGCCTTGAAAATAAGGGATCAGCAGCCTCACCTGTCCCGGGGAGCCTGGAAAATAAGGGATCAGTAGCCTCACTGTCCTGGGGACAGTTTATGGGATATCTAACAATCCGGGATAGCAGCGGGAAACGGCGCTGGAATAAGGGAATTTCCCGCAAAAAAAGGGAAGGTTGACAGCTATGGTGCAAGGGAGCGTCTGCCCCCCAAATCAAATAAATGAATTAAAATACTTAACTGACCAATTGTGTCACAGATAACTCGGTTCTGCCCCCCCAATAAATCCTGGCAGCAACCATGCACCCATACACCCAATTAAACCAAGCACCCATCACAACCAATTCTATTGGGAACGGCAGAATGACTCTTCCAAGCCTAATTTCAGCAGGGGGAGGGGATCCTATGGGCAACTGTGGGGGCTATGCTGGTGGCCTGTGAGTTGTGACTCAGTGTGCTGTGACTTGCTAGGGGCTGGTAGATACAGCTCCCTTGCTCTAGTATGATCTTGCCTCAGCTGGCTTCAGGACTTGGTGGTTGGGCAGACAGTTTGATGTGACCTCCCTCTGCTCTCTCAAGTTTCTTGGACAGTGAGGGCACCAGTGGGATTTGTGGTTCTCCCTGGGTGTATGAGGCAGTGAGTTAGGGATGAGTGGAAGGAAGGAGAAGAAGGATGATGCTGGTGAGATGATGCAGAAAAGAGATGGTGAGTCTCATTCCTAGGATGCTACCTGGCCAGTCAATCCAGTGAGAGTGGCATGATTTTGGTGACATGAGATGGCATGAGAAGGTGAGTAGGTCTAAAGATCTGGGCCCTATGGAATGAATCGCTGGAGGCTGCCACTGCTGCGGCTGTCAGTGTGGCCCTCTGGCTCCCCTGTTGCAAGGCTTGGCCTCTCTCTCTTGCTGCTTAACAAAAGTGTTTTTTCCCCTGAGTGGCTCTTGAATCTTAGTCCCTGGAGGGCTGTGTATGCTATACAAGAATGCTGTGTTCTGTGGGTTCTTCTTGCATCTGTCTATCTATCTATCTATCTATCTATCTATCTCCAATACATATTGTGACAATAAAGGGATTGGCACCCCTGCATTCCCTTCTTCACGCAGCACATAGTTAAACTATGGAACTCATTTCCACAGGAGGCAGGGACAGCCAGAAACCTAGATTAGGCAAATACATGGAGAGGGCTATCAAAGGCTACCAGCTGTGGAGTTTTTGCTGTGCCTCAGCTGGCTTTAGCAATGCTTCTGAATGCCAGTTTCTGGAAACCAGAGGAAGGGAGAGTGCTCTTGTGCTTCAATCTGGCTCCAGGTTTCTCACCGGCATCTGACTGGCTGCTGTGGAAACAAGATGCTGAATTAGATGGGCCATTGGCCTGACCCAGCAGACTTTTCTTATGTTGTTATGTAGGGATGTCTGGCCCTTGGCAGTACCAGGATTGTTGCTGCCTGAACCACTGGAGCAGACGGACTGAAGAGGCTCTGGTGTTGTTTGGGCACATTACATGTGTAGCAACATTAGGTGCCTGCTAGAGTTTGCAGCCTGTTTGGGCAGCATGCTATCATTGGCACATGGCCCGATGGCTGAACTTTGGCTTTTTTTGCAGGGACACTGGGGGGGGGGGGGATGCCTGCATTTCTATGCTGCCTTTATATTTTCTCATTGTGTGTCCCTCTCCCCCCTGGACTGAGCATGCATTAGATACGCCTGCTGTTCCTTCAGCATAATTGGTGTTTATAGGATTTCTTGGCCTGAACGGTATAGAGAAATCACACACTTTTGTCTTTTTCTTTTTTTAAAAAAAATCTTGCTTTCACTTGATACCTGATGAAATATCAGGTTAAACACCGATTGCCTAGCAATCATCTCAACATATTTACAAATTAGCATTTTTAGCATATTTGGAATTTTGATGACAAAAAGCAAGTGGTACTGATGAAAGCAAGGGTTTGAAGGTGCCATGCAGCAATTATGTTAATTCCTTTCTTTTGGGTGCTCAGGAGGATTCTCAGGCCTGGTAATAGCGGCACTTTTTACCGTGCCGTCCTGGGGAAGCCGCTGATAACATTTTTCAATCTCAAAAGGTGCTTGATTTCTCCATTTGTGTTCAGGTTTACCTTGGTTCTGCAGTTAGCAAAGCCCAACCCACCTGCCCTATACAATTTGTAGTTCTCAAACCTATTTGAAAAATAATAATAATGTGAATGGAGATTTTACATCATTACAATTTCCTTTCCATTTAGGAAGCATCTGCTGTCTCGATATCTTGAAGGTCTGAAGAGGCCACAGACCGCGAAGCAGATGAAGCCATTATTAAAATGAAACAAAACAACAACAACAAAAATGAGAGGGGAGAGACACAGAATATGCTACAATACCTGCTGCAGCAACAGGCTCAACATTTTTATTAGTATTATTATTTTTACCTTGAAAAGGTTAAAAGCATTTTGGTCCTTTCAGAAAATGTAATTGCATTTCAGACTTGTTTTGTGTGTGAGTCTGTGGGAAATACAAGTTAGTTCTCTTGCATAAAAATGGGCACTTTTGCCTTCTCTCGCTTTTTTTTTTTTTTTGCTAACAGGCCTGCCTATTAAGTAAACATTTAAGACCTAATTGGACCTTTTATCTGCACCCTGTCACACTGAGTGATCAACCATTATAAGCAGTCATATAAATGTCACTTTAAGTACTGGCCCTTGCGGAGATCCAAAAGCTATCAAGAAAGACAAAAAGGCCTTGGTATTTACTAAGACAACATGAAGTTTGTAGGGCTGAAAGGCTTTCATTGCTCAATTGACATGATTGCTTTTTTGAAGGGTGGCTTTTTAGAAACAACAACAGGTTTTAATTGGAGATGTATCTTTTGAAAACATCCCCAGTTTGATCTCACTGAAATAAATTATTTGTGTACCCCTTGTAAGAAATGCAATATCTTTGGGATGCTCTACAAAGGTGGTGGTGGTTGTTGTTTTAACATACACGCATGATAATATCAGGTAGGTATATATGAAGACCCACTACCATTTTGGGCTAAGAGGTCCATTTGGAATTTTAATAAAGTGCCTGTCGCAAAATGTCTGCTGAAGGGGTGGGGGTGGGTGGGTAACAGGATAACACAAAATGGCTGCCATCTCCAAAAGAGATAGAATCCAGAATGTCCTAGGTATGACTGCCTCACTCCATAAATGGTGCAGAAAGATGCCTGCTTCAATCAACAGACACTGTCTCATAGAAAGAAACTCTTTGTAACTCTCCTCAGTTCATAATGAAACAGTCTCTTCTACATTGTTGATTTTTGAGGGATCATTTACTGAATGATCTGTGTTGCGGTTGGCACTATGGTAGCTCCATGTGACACAAACACAGTTCAGTGCCAATCACCTGGTGACCATCAAGTCCAGCTGGTGCCAGTGGTCTTGAGCACACTCACTGTTTTGCCTTGTTAGAGAAGGCCTTGGCTAACGCAATGGGACTTTCCCCTCTCCCCTCCATCTTGTGCACCCCAAGCACCCCCCAAATTGGCTTTGAAGGGTCAGGTGAACCCATAGGACAGCACACAGGAGGAGAAGGAAGATAATTCCATCAGGCAAACAGAAATGCTTGGGCTGATGCAGTGATCATCTTATTGTTACTTTGAATTTCTCCCATATCATGATCGCGTGGAAATGGGTTAGACCCAAACATGCATGAATAGAATAAATTCTGGCAATGGTGCTGGGGTGATGTTCCACAAACTGTGGAAGATTTCACAAAGCACAGCACGGGCATGCATTCTGAGCCACGGTGCAAGACCTTGTGCAACATGTTCGACAAAGTCCGGTCTTTATTGAGGATTTCTTTTGATTTGTTTGCAGTATGGGCATTCACCAGGCATTCATCCTGATTCGCTTTGCTTGGTGTTTATACCTCTTCCAGTTAATCAGTTGTTCATTCCCCCATTTCCAATGCATTTCACTGTCATTTACTCATTCTCAAAAAGCTCCCCCCCCTTTTTATAAGGATTTGTTTTACTAGGATAAAAGAGAACTTTAGTTCACTTTAAAGCTGCCAACCTAAATTTCCTAGTCTGCACTTGAATCCCTCTTGCAAAATACTGGCAGTCTGGAGGCTCACAGAGTATATATATCTATATGTCCCGTTAACAACAGTCCATACCCAAATATCTAAAACTGCAAAGACACACTTCAAACCAGCACTTGCAATGTCTTTTTATACAAGTGCCTGCAGTGCTTTGAGAAGCGGGAAAGCCCGATACGGCCATTGCGAAAAGTGTTGAGCAAAAAGTACAAGCGTGTGCGGTAGAAGGTGAGCACTTTATGGCTAAATACATGCTTCCTGGTCATAAGCCAGATTCCATTATGCTGCTGGATGCTGCCAGCGCACAGTGAGGTGCCTCGGTCTCCTCCTGGGCCACACTACAAAATATGTATTAATTAACAATCATAGGCTCTTTATGGTAGACATGTGGGCCTGTAAAGACCAGAATGAGGAGGAATTCAGGATGCAGCAGCAGAACTTATTTTGAAACCAGGACTCTCTTGAAAGAATTCCAGCTTTCCATTCTGTTCACCATCTGTGCATCAGGCGAAGGCACAGCTGCCCATATTATCATATAATTTTACGCCTAGGCTGCACCAATTTGATGGCGCACACAGAGGTTTCAGAGATCTTTGTGGGATTTGGCTAGGTGGCTCCCATTGCCTTTAATGGGCATAGCACTGCTAAAAACCCCAAAGCAGCTCTAAAATTGGACGAGAAAATCTTTTTGCAAGGGCAGCCAAGTTGGAGCGGATCTCTAGGTGCCTTCAGTAAAAAAGGAGTGGGGCGGGGGAAGCAGAATCAGAAAGTGAGAGAGAAAGACAAAGGCTGTGTTATTGAACATTAGCTATTAACCATATATACCATGGAAGAAGATGTAGATGTATTTATGGGAAGAATCCTCTTAGTGTGTCTATTGTTTGGCTCTCCAAAGTCTCTGAAGAGGCACATGCAACTTGCCATGTGGACTGGCCCTGTTACTTACAGACTTCCATGCTGCTACCAGCTGCGCCAGGAATGTCTGTTTTTGCAAATCGGAGAGAATGGAGCTGATTCATATGATGAGTTGCTCTACACAATTCGGGGGCAGCCCTGGTATGGGGAAGCTGATGGAAGCTGTCTCCATGGGGCACTCATAGGGTGTGTATTGCTCCAAATGCTACTCCCTTTTTGGTGCATTCAGACATACAGCAGAAGTCATGAAACCATTACAGGGCAAATTTCTGACAAGGTGACTATTGGTTGAAAAGCTTCAACAGCTCACAGCTGAGGATGGTTTCTCTCCATTTCCCTTTTTTAAACTCAACTCTCCAAATATCTGTATTGGTTTGCTTTTTTAAAAATAAAATAAAATGCCCCCATGAAAATTCATCAGACTGCAAATTTCTCTGAACATGCACATTTTTCTACGAAATTTTGGCTAATGCGCTCAGAGTTTATCATGGCAGTCTTCTTTGGGGTCCATCCCAGGTACGCAGCAGAACCAATGAAGGCACCGGAATTACTTCCTGTTTGGTAATTAAATTAATTTCAACAAAAATCATTTCCTAAAACATAGCCACCAGTGAGCCTTTCCACCATAAGTGGAAGTACATGCCTTTACTGGACCTATAGTGGATTTATATAGGAAAGTCTGATTGGAGAAAGGTGCCATCTAAATGGTGTCCATATTCACACTCACAGCATTTCCAGTGCTCGGTTTTTAAGCCGCGTTCACATGGTGTTTTCCAAAATGCATATGTATCCTGCACTTTGTGAAAAGATGCTGCTGTTTGATGCATTGTTTCTCAGACCAGTTTCACACAGATTAGAGTCCTTCAGCTGTTCACGTAGTGTAAAGACATTCCTGTCCTGTCAACACGCCCTGAGGTGGACATGGATTTTCCACACAGAGGCCCATATGTACAATGACCTGATTTTTTCCCCTAAAAAAAGAAAAGAAAAGGAATGTTGGGGATCAGACTTTTGCATGTATGTACTTGTAAATGAAGGGACGTGGGTGGCGCTGTAGTCTAAACCACAGAGCCTAGGACTTGCTGATCAGAAGGTTGGCGGTTCGAATCCCCGCGACGGGGTGAGCTCCCGTTGCTCAGTCCCTGCTCCTGCCCACAGTTTGAAAGCACGTCAAAGTGCAAGTAGATAAATAGGTACCGCTCCGGCGGGAAGGTAAACGGCATTTCCGTGCGCTGCTCTGGTTTGCCAGTCATGCCGGCCACATGACCCGGAAGCTGTACGCCGGCTCCCTTGGCCAATAAAGCGAGATGAGTGCCGCAACCCCAGCCAAAACTGGACCTAATGGTCAGGGGTCCCTTTACCTTTACCTTACCTGTAAAAGAAGTATCCGTGTTATGTGTTTGCCAAAGGGGAGGAGAGTGTCATGCTTGCATCTCTCTTACATGAAGGCAACTGTTGTCTGGGTAAGTGTCTGAACAAGACACACCTCATAATTCCCCTGCCTCCATCACATATTCAAGGATATCTCTGAAATAATGAGGACTAGTATGATCTTATATTTCCCCCCCAAAAAAAGCCAAGGAGGACTGGTTGCTTGGAAAGTTAGGGGGAGAAGTAAACAGCCCATTAATTGCTCATGGTTGCCCCATATTATATAATAGCTATTCCTAGAAACCCTTCTAAATTTCTTTGACCACTAACTTATATTAGAAGTCATGTTGTGAGATGCTGAAAGGCATCTTTTAGAATGGGCAGAAGCAAACAAAGCAGCTAGAAGCAGGCCCATTCGTGTTGCCGCAGAATGGAATCAGGAGAAGCCTATTGGTTAATTCACATCATCATTCTGGATGATTCTCTGCATTTTGGATGACCATGATTTATTCTTATGTAGGCTATTTTTCTCCCAAAGCTAGACACATTAAAGATCTTAACCTATTAACTTTCAATAAGATTGTTTTACACTCATTTTAGCAGTGTCTTACCTCATTGTTTGTAGTCACCCTATGAATCGTTTGTGTCTTCCTGCCCTCAAGTATTGGGAGGGGGAAATTCATTCTTCCTGCAATTAGTATTCATGGTTCGCTAAGCAGAACTAATGCAACAAATCTTACTTGTTTTTTCACCGAAGGTTATGTTACCTGCATTTTCAGCTTGGCCTAGGGAAATGTCTCTTTAAGCAGAAGGTATTTCTGACTATCTATTACCTTATTGTGTATTCGAAGGTTTATTATGGAGGTTTTTACTGTTTGATGTTTTATTCTGTTTTTATATTTTGCTGGAAGACACCCAGACTGCCTGGGGTAACCCAGTCAAATGGGTGGCATATACATAATAGAATTATTATTATTATTATTATTATTATTATTATTATTAAATTCTTCCATTTGGGCATGTGAGATTTTTCTTCTTAATTTAGCACTACCTGACAAAAAACAAGTCTATATTTGACAGAGAAGTAAGGGGAAATAGAATAATATCTGCCCAGTATTTTAAAAATTATCACAGGCAGGCTTCATAAACCATGCCTGAAAATTTCATCCAATTCAGACAAGTTTTTTTATAAAAAAAGTTATAAGTAGTTCACTTTTTTAAAAAACAACAACCTCAAGTCAAAAATATTGTATTTACTAGATGAAATGTCCACTTAAGTTTTTGTGTTTTTAAAATTTACAGACACACAAAGACTGCTTCCATATTCCATCCACTGCCACCCTTGAAAGTTTTTTGTGACCTCAATTTTCAATTAACTTCTTTTTTTGGCCAATCCTATGGGTCAATCAGGGCCGGATTTAGGTTTGATGAGGCCCTAAGCTACTGAAGGTAATGGGGCCCTTTATATGTCCAGCTGTCCTTTGTCAACAACAAATTGTCACTGTTTTTTGTGTTGAATATATGCTATATGGTAATTTATGGACCTAATAGGTATCTAAAGCCATTTGCACATAACAAAATATGTATTTTATCAAAGTAATTGTTGAACTGAAATACAGTTAAGAAGTATATTAATAGTGAAATAATTATTAAGCTCTAACTGCATGTAGGTTTTATTTTATTTTATTTTTATCTTACATTTGGGAAATGTACATCCAGTTTATTTTCCTTTAAAGTTTTTGGGGCCCCCCAAGAGAGTGGGGCCCTATGCTATAGCTTGTTTAGCTTATACGTAAATCCAGCACTGGGGTCCATATAGCTTACTGACCATTTCCACCCCTCCTGCTGTGATTTTGTCCTGGCAAAAGCTTTTTGTGTTTCGGAAGACTCCTAAAAACTGTCCTTAAAAGCAATTTTTTAAAAAACTGGCCACATCTGTTTATACACTTCAGCCATGCCCACTTTGACATACAGGCCCAGGCAGGGGGGGTGTCCAATGCAGTTACTGAAAAAAGTTAGCCACTCTTAACTTAATGGCTAAATTATATAATAGCAGTATCCATGCACATAACTCCCTGGGTGTATGGAGTTGAGAAAATCATGGTTGCCAAACCTTCAACCTAGGGATAGGTACAATACCACACTGAGTGAGATTTTCCAAATGTATGTGCTTGAAATTTTTGTGATCAGTGACGAAAGACCAGACACTCAGAGGGTGGACAGCTTCACAGACATCAATTGAGCACTAGCTACTTTAACAGTTACAAGTCCTACCAAAGTAGGAGAAAGTTATTTTAAGTTTGTGCATTTGGTAAATTTTTAATTCGTAGTTGTTATTTTATAATGGTTTTTATTGTAAAAGTACTATTAGCTTAAGCCTTAGGGATAATCCATATGATTCTGAATAAATCCTTTCCCTCGTTTAAAAAACAATCAGACATAATTGTTGTCCAAAATATACAGGGTGTAAATAGCAGTGACAGCATTTTCTGTTGTATTTTTATTCCTGTTCCCCTCCATTCATTAATAAGTTTAGTTATTTCAAAGGTAAAGAAGGAGGTTTTTTTTTAAAAAAAGTATTTTACTGGGTCCCAATGTATCTCAGTGTAATGGTTTATATATAAGTGATTGTAATTGCCAAAACTACAGTAGAGTATTATTAGTTATAAAATGCACATATAGTTATATGTCCAACAGACAGCAAAGAACTGAAATGCAGTTGTATCCAAGGGAAAATAATTACAGCAATAATCAGTGTAATTCATGATAATGGCTGAATTGAATTTCACACCATAGCTCCAAGCACTTACATTTAATGAATGTAGTTTGTGCTTGTTTACTTAAAAGGGTTTTTAGCAGAAAATCGATAATGTAACTTCAGTGTTTCTAATTGCAAATACAATTTATTTTTTTAAATAGTCATTCAATAAGGATTTTTGTCGAGAAAATTAAGGTATATAAGTGTGGCAAACGTTGCCACTTTGATTAGGATACCTGTACATTAGTAGAATGGTTGCTTAAAATTATTACGTATTGATTAAAATTGATCTATGTTCCATTTTAAGGGTACGCAAAGTTCCAAACCTTGCAGAGTTTGGGGGTTGGTGGGCAACTATGATTGTGCATATCATTTCATAATCAGAATGTCTTCATAAATAAGTTATCATTTGAAAAACCGCTATGACAGAACCAAGGACATAAGGCCTGGTATATGGTGGCAATTTAAATGTGTCAATGTGAAAGCAGTTGGTGGGGTTCTGCTTTGCGCTAACATAGAATGGTAATAATAAGACAATGTGCTAATGGATGTGTAATGATAATTGATTTTGGCTTATTCTTACGTTTATGCATGCTTTTAAAACGTAAAGGGACCCCTGACCATGAGGTCCAGTCGTGGCCGACTCTGGGGTTGCAGCGCTCATCTCGCTTTACTGGCTGAGGGAGCCGGCCTACAGCTTCTGGGTTATGTGGCCAGCATGACTAAGCCACTTCTGGCGAACCAGAGCAGCGCACGGAAACGCCGTTTACCTTCCTGCCGGAGTGGTACCTATTTATCTACTTGCACTTTGACGTGCTTTCGAACTGCTAGGTTGGCAGGAGCAGGGACCGAGCAACAGGAGCTCACCCCGTCATGGGGATTCGAACCGCCAACCTTCTGACCAGCAAGTCCTAGGCTCTGTGGTTTAACCCACAGCGCCACCCGCGTCCCTTATGCATGCTTTTACCCCTACTTAAATGCTTTATGTATTGGCCAAAAATTGCTACTTTTGAAACATCAAAGAGTCGGACACATTGAATTAGCATATCCTTGTTGATAGGTTGAAAGCACAACCTGGTACTTGTTTCTGTATCATTTATAGAGGAAAATCTCACATAAATTTCAGGGGGACCAGAATCTCACTATGCCTTCCATAGCCATTGGCGAGGTTATTGGTTGGATCCAGAGTTGTGCTTAGCAGAGTACTACTGGAGAAAGGGGATGAGAAGTGGACTTTTGCATATTCCTTCCCTGTCAGCTGTTTTGGAGGGTTGGGAGCCTCTCTGGCGCAACAGAGAGATGCAAGGGAACTAAGGTTCCAACTAGTTCCCACTGAGCTAGGGAGGGAACCACACATAGAGACCGGAGTTTCTATTATGGATTAGTTATGCCTCTTAAAGTGACACACTAGGCACACTACAGATTCCCAATACTATCCCACCACACGCTCTTAGTGTGCTATAAACAAACATGGCAGCTGCTAGTGGTGGTTTCAGCATGTATGGCAGCTACTAATTTGCTGGGATGTTTTATGGCAGGATTGGACCCAGTAGTGAAAGGAGGATAACTAAAACCCCATTTGAAATCGCATGCCTAGTGTAAGTTTACCAGATATTTTTCAATGAATCTGGGGACACTTTAAATAAATAAATAAATAAATAAATAAATAATACTACACGTTCAGGATGTTGATGCTGCAGCGATAGCGGTGGCAGAGGGGCGGCCGCCACCTTGACCTCAACCGCCATGTTTCCCCTTCCTCCGAGGCTTCTATCTCCTTTCTCCATGAGCCTGAGCAGCCCCTGAGTTGTTGGTTCTTCAGTGGTGGTGGTGGGGAAGCGGTGCGTGGTGGGTCAGGCATGGAAGGCGGAGAAGGAGGGCTGAGAGTGGTGTGGCGGCGAGGCTCGGGCAGTGCGATGCCTCCCTTCCCATCGGAGCAGCCCCAATCCCATTCCTACTTGCGTGCAAGCAGGAGGGGTTGGGGATCCCTCAGCTGGGAAGGGAGGCTTCCCGTTGCCTAACTGAGAGATTCCTGCCCCCTCCTGCTTGCATGCAAGCTCTGATAGGCAGCGTGAAGCCTCCCTTCACAGCTGAGAGATCCCCGCCCCGTTCCTGCTTGCACGCAAGTAGGAGTTGGGAGGCTACTCCGATAGGCAGCATGAAGCCTCCCTTCACAGCTTAGTTGCTGGGGTCAGGGAAGGTGGAGGCAACCCGGAAGCTGCATCTTAGAGCCCCTGCACCACCATCATATGGGGACTTCGAGCAGCTCCTGAAGCCATCCAGAGCCAACTGCTCTGGGCTGCTGAGACTGCCACTGCTGCGTTTCCCGGGGACATTAGATGAAAGCCAGGGACATTCCGTGGATGGAATTTGTCTGGGAACTTATTTGCAAGTCTGGGGACTGTCCCCTGGAAACGGGGACATCTGGTAACCCTAGCCTAGTGTCTTCTGGGATGCTGCATTAAGAACTCCCTGAAGATCTTAGGACACAACATAGCCTCCTTTATTGTCTGCCTCATATGGACACTAAGCGATGGAAGAGTTTGCTTTTATGTTGCTGATAATGTACAAGGAAAACTTTACAAAAACGGGATACTGCTCTGAAGTCCATCTGTGGAGGTGAACAGAAGATTACAGTTCTTTATGCATACATGCAAGACAAAAGATAACACCTACTTGTTTAATAACACCATGCATAAGATGTAGAAGATTTTGATCCCATCCCATCCTGTCTTGTAAAGTGAAGTAGCTGATTGTTCCTGTTTTCTCTTACTCATCACTGCACACAAAAAAATATCTCAAAGCAAACTACAGATCCATGAAACACACAGAGTTAACAAACACCACGGTAACCAAACTCTCTTCTCTTCTTAAAAATTCAGTGCAAGACTGTTCACATAAGGCTTTGACTCACAGCTCAGCAGGACTCAGCCCAGGAAACCCATTCCAGGGCTAAGAGTCATAATAGCAATAATAATAAAATGGGTGAAAGATTTCCTTGCAGCTCTGTACATTCATACATAAGTTTCTTAGTTTAAGGTGTTTTTTTTAAAGTCTTGCATATTTTCGTCTGCTAAAGCAATTTATTTTTAAAATATGGTTGGTGAGAAGGGAAGAACGGGTAAATGGCTTCTGTTTATAATTATAATGAGCACTGGAGTTTTTTCTCCCTTTCTCATTAGCACATTTCCCCCTCTTATTGTTTTAGTTAAATAAATTGCATATACTTTAACTATAGAGTTTAATTAATTGTATTTAATTCATATTTGCAAAATAATCAATTCTGGAATTAATTAGTTTATTTGTTTGAATAAAGCATTTCAACTCAATGTTACAATTGATTACATGAAATTCAGTTCATTTTTTTCTTTTTAAAAAAACAACTTAATAGGCATTTGTGGAATTTGCATCTGTAATTTTTGTGTGTGCTTAAAAGAGAGCTCATGAACATTCAAGAAAGTCTTTGGCATAGGAACATAAGAAGGACATTGTTGGCTAAGGCCAAAGGCCCATCTAGTCTAGCAAGCTGTTCTCACAGTGGCCAGCCAGATGCCCATGGGAAGCCCGCAAACAGAACCTGTGTGTAACAACATTCTCTCCACTTACAATTTTCAGCCGCTGGCATTTAAAGGCATACACCGTCCGACTGTGGAGGTAGAACATCACCATCGCCACCAGTACAGTGGTACCTCACAAGACGAATGCCTCGCAAGACTAAAAACGCGCAAGACGAGAGAGTTTTCCGTTTTTTGAGTCGTTCCGCAAGACGAATTTCCCTATGGGCTTGCTTCGCAAGACGAAACGTCTTGCGAGTTCTTGCGAGTTTGTTTCCTTTTTCTTAAAGCCGCTAAGCCGTTAATAGCCACTAAGCCGCTAAGCCGCTAATAGCCGTGCTTCGCAAGACGAAAAAACCACAAGACGAAGAGACTCGCGGAACGGATTAATTTCGTCTTGCGAGGCACCACTGTATCCATTGATAGACTTAATGTCCATGAATTTGCCATCCAAGTTGGTGACCATCACTACTTCCTGGGGGATGGGCAAATTCCATAGTTTAACTATGTGCTATGTGAAGAGGGACGTGGGTGGCGCTGTGGTTAAACCACAGAGCCTAGGACTTGCCGATCAGAAGGTTGGCAGTTCGAATCCTCGCGACGGGGTGAGCTCCCATTGCTCGGTCCCTGCTCCTGCCAACCTAGCAGTTCGAAAGCACGTCAAAGTGCAAGTAAATTAATAGGTAACGCTCCGGCGGGAAGGTAAACGGCGTTTCCGTGCACTGCTCTGGTTCGCCAGAAGTGGCTTAGTCTTGCTGGCCACATGTCCTGGAAGCTGTACGCCGGCTCCCTCGGCCAATAAAGCGAGATGAGCGCCGCAACCCCAGAGTCTGTCACAACTGGACCTAATGGTCAGGGGTCCCTTTACCTTTATGTGAAGATGTACTTTCTTTTGCCTGTCCTGAATCTTCTAACATTCAGTTTCCCCAGGTACTAGAGAGGCACCTTAACTCTCTTAGGGTGCAGTCCCTGTTCTGGGAATAGGAATGGGGAAGAAATTTTATTCAGTTTGCATTTATTAATGAACCCACCTAATTCACCCTTGTTAAGGTTGCTGAGAGTTGTTAGGCGACAACTCCCTATTCTTGCCCAAAGCTTACAATTAACAGAGTTACCTGTGAAGAGAGATTAATTGTTAAACCGCTTTGGGAATTCTGCTTCTGACAGGGTTGCCAACTTGAATAAGATATGCCCTACCCTGCATAATCGATCGCAAGATGCAGTGCATGCACACAGTTTGAGTGGCATTGCTTGTCAACATTATTGGGGAGGCAGCTCCCTCCAATATTTCAGAGCTTTACCAACTTTTCATGTTTGTGACACACTTTTTAGATATGCATAATTTTGTGACTCAGTAATTCAGTTTTACTAGCAAGCCGGAGGCTAAACTAACCTCTTTTCAGCCCTGGGAGCAGCATAGGAAGACCTACAGACTGCAGCTGAGAAACTAATGTGTCGTAACACACAGTTTGGAAAGCTCTGCCTTAGGAGTTGGCTCCTATGCTCTGGGAGGCAAATGGGGGTCTCAGTACCCTTAACAAACTTCAGCTCCTACAATTCTTTGTGAGAAGCAATGATGGTTTAAGGTGGTATCATAGTGATTTAAATACATGGTTTCAATCTGGCCTAAAGCTGCAATCTTATAATGCCTTACAGGATAGGAAGCCTCATTGAGGTCAATGGAACTTACATCTGAGTAGACATGCATCGGGTTGCACTGTTAAGGGTAGGGGGTAGACATACAATAGATATGAAACCCTACATAAGCATGGGCAGACCTAGAATAAATTGTTGAAATAAGATCAAAAACCCTAAATGGTTTATCTCTGTTTAGCCACAACATCCTCCTTCCCTTTCGTCACTTCCCCTTCTAATATTCCTTTTTATGTCTTCATTTCTCTTTTGTATTGTTAAGGAGGCATTTCACTAGGGAGTGCTAGAGAGAGATGGATGATCAATGGGAATGATAGGGTAGACTGGATCTGTGTATTTTAGAGCTTATCATTGTTGTTTTATTGTATTGCCATTTTGCCAATCGATAACAATTTGCAAATAGGAAAAAAAGACCAATATTTTTGGGGTATGTGTATAATGAATCAATTCTGCATAGATAGATTGATTAAAAAGCTTGTGAGGAGGGGGCAGAAGGATGGATGCTTCGTTAGTGTGGCTGATGAAATTTATCTGGTTTCCCCCATATAAACCACAACTGTCCTGCGAAAGTGAGGGAGTTTGGAAAAATGCAGACCACCTCCGAAGTCCTTCCTTTATAACCACCAACGTGGATCTCCACAGGAGAGTGTGGTCCACAACACTTTCTGGGTCTGTCCTTTCCTGTACAATATGCCTGTATCTTCATATATTGTAAGCTGTTCCATAGCTATGGGGCTCGTGGGAGAATAAATGACCACCGTCATCATTATTAATAAAACAGTGATTGTGAATTCATCCAATCTATGCACAGATGAGGAGGACAAATTAAGTTATTTCATAGGAAGTAGATTAAGACACAAAGGTTTTATTTTAAATAAAATAAATAGGAGGAAATAGTTTGGGATTTGTGTGGTGATTATTTTCTATGGTTACCTGCCCTCTCTATTAGAACTAGTGTTGCATTTTCTGGCAGGTTCAGGAAGGCATTTTACTCTACAAAAACAACTAGCTCTTTTTCCTGTCTATGATTACTTGTAATTATGCTTTCCCTGCTATTATTCTAATAGGCTGTCAGACTGCACAGAGGAGGCGTTTGGAATATAAGACTGCTTTTATGGATGGACCGCTGGAACACTTAATATAGCTCTATTTTTGAATTATCAGATTCTATCCTTTTGAAGTCTGCGTTAGTGGAACTCCTATTTATGAGATGTGCTGTGCTTAAAGGTTTGCTATTGATGAAGAGGTCCAACAGAGGCCTTTATCGTAAGTACCGTAGCATTCTCCCCGAGAAATAAATAGCCTTGCTAAAAGGTATGTTGTGTACCAAGGTTGCAAATTACCAGCCAAGTACCTTATAACTGTATACTTCAAAAATACTACCGGGCTTCTTGCTTATTCCCTCTTTTCTGCAGAAATGAGGAACATTTTTAAAGACAAAGGAAATCTATTTGCCATCCAACGATATTGGAGAAGAAGAAGAACAACAAAAAAACCACCCCCAAACTCAGATGCTATTTTTGTTAATACAGAGTGCTGCATATTAATATTAAAACATACTTGTGGGTCCATTAAACAATACTTGATTCAAGTCATTTTGGGAATGTTTTCAGCATTTCTGTTTGAAAAATGATACAGGTCAGTCATTTAGCTGGGAAATTCCTTCAGCACTAAGGCAGCTGATTTAAAAGTCTCTACAGCTATGGACAAACATTTGCAAATGTTCTACATTTATTTGTCAGTTGATTAATATTATGCAGGGCAGCATAATAAGCACATGCAGAAGTGGGCGAAATATTCCACTTGCTACACCTGTGGTTAATATTTAAGATGAAGACTGCTTCAGGGCATGCCATTTCCTCCTCCCTGTTAAATATAAGCCGCTAAGTGGGTACCTGGGGTTGGACCATGGGCAGCTGACTGAGGTGAGCCATGAGGCATAGAAGGAAGCCAGTGGTGAGGACCAAAGGATAACCCAGGAGACAGGTGCACACCAGAGCTCAGGAAGACAGTTGTTTGAGGAAGTCTTAACTTTAACAGGCAGCCCTTCCTGTCTATGAGGGGCCAAGGAGTAGCTTGAGTGGGTGGGGTGGGCCAAGGCTTGAGTCTATTAACTACCTAGGCAGGCACTGCAACATGCAATTCCTTGGGCTACTGAGGCTTCCAGTTTGACATCTGGCAGGAGATGGAATATCTTTTGCTGCCCCGCCTTATCGCGTGTTTGGTTGGGGCTTTAAACCCCTTAATTGAACATTGATTTGGAGCTGGGTCTTGGTCAAGTATTCCCCAAGCTGGCCCAGGTCAGGTTATGGATGATCTTGGCCCCTGGATCTGGTCAGGGTGTGGTGTGTGTGAGAGAGGGCCCTAGTAAAAAGTTTACCCATATTGCGATGGATCCAAGCAATTAACCCTTCCTTCTTGAAAGATTTAATCTCAGCACTTGGCTTTCAGATAAGTATCTTGCTTAATGTCCTAGCTAAAGGGACCCAAGGATAAATCCTTAATATCATATTTCTTAGCAGAAATAACTTCTGAAGTGGAAAAGGCATGGAGGCTGTATGACCAGAGATATTATATTATGCTATTGAGTTAGCATAAAGGCTCCATTTAACTTCAATATGTCATATTTAAATTGTGTTGGCATCAAAGAATATGCATGCTTGTTCAGAAAATAGATGCACTGGACAGTTGTTTTGAATCAATGGGTTGGATCCAAAGTTTGCACAAGCAGACCACTCTTTTGGCAATGATATTTGCAGTGGGCAGAGAAAGGACTAAGCACCTCCCCATCATGGCTTTACTGCTCCAAATTCCATCCTCCCAAGGCTGCTTTTCATTACTAATAGGGAATACCGGGGTTTTGTTGCAGACATTTATGTGAAACATACAGTTTGGTCCATCAGATGGAGCACATGGCCACAGTGTGGAGCACAACCACAGCGCAGGGCCTCCACGTAGACCCTGTAACATTGAAATTGCCTTCCATGTGGGGCTATAATAGGGGTCATGGTCTTTTAAAAAGCTACAGGTGTAAAAAGCAAAAAGGTATAAATAAGATAGATTAACTAGAAATACTCCTTGATTGGGATTTATATTTTAGCTTCGCAAAATAATGGCAAACCAGTCATTATTTTACAGTATTTATCTGAGCCCTCCGCCCCCACCCCCTGTTCCACTGCAACCTTAATGCATCAAGACCTTTCCTTTCCTCTCCACATCTCATTCATTCTTACCCATATATTTTATTTTTACTGATAGGTTCCCCCTTAAGCCTGTCTATTTGCTAGTACATTTGACAGATGACAGCTACTCTTTGGAATGTTTGATGGCATTTGTACGGCTATGATGCCAGGAGCGTTCTAAGCGCTGGTGTTGCATATTTATTGATCTCCATATTCCCAATAATCTGATGCACGTCACATTTGACAACATTATGTGGCGAGGTCAGCTAGATGGGGCTAATTAAACTGTTTCAAAGATGGATGTTGTTTTCCACAACATTAACCTTGCAAAATAGCTGCCATGCCGCATTTCACTATGGGAGTTTGGGTTTTGAGAACCTCCTGCACCTCCCCTCCCTTTTCCCTCCCCCCCTTTTAAGTTTGTTGATGCTAACATTAAACAAAAACCTGAAGCTATTAAACCTCAGTATTTATATACAATAGAAAACATGGCCGACATGGCATCATTCCAAATGAAAATCTTATTAGTGGCGCACGGTGCTTGTGGCGAAGTCCCGAGCAAACAGAAAATTGGTTTGGCTGTCGAAAATGGTTGACAGATTAGCGAAAGATGATGTAAAAGGGATGAATGGGCAACAGCTGAATTCAGGAGGATTAAACTGGTAAATAGAAAACCCTGATGTAATCAGAAAATGCATTGTGCTTTCATCTTCTGGCACAGTAATGCTATTCACGCCCAATGCTTATTGCACTCTGGACAGTATGAAATTTTGACTCTCCCTTTTAATATATATATAACTTTCATAACTTGTCTAACGCTGCAAGAAAGAATTGAATTGCTAAGGAAGTCCCTGGAAGTTCTCTCTCTCTCTCTCTGGTTATGGCAATTTAAATATTTAATTAGAAGCTTTCTGCCTTTGTACCAATGACATTTCAGACATAGAATTCTCAGGGCGCTGCAAAGGATCCTTGGAGGCCTCTTTGCCACATTGAGCTGTTTCAGAACAGTTACCGTAACTCTTTTTTGATGTTACACCGCCTTTTTTTTGTGTAATGTAAATTTCTGCCTCTACTTAGGATACACAGTTCCAAATATGATTTTGATAGGCAAGCAATTTAGAAAATGCTCATGTTGCCCTTTGAGCTGTAGAGTGCTGCATATTTTTACAGGGCCTGTTGGGACCTTGGTGCTTTTCAAGCCAGCAGAAGTAGGGAAAGGATCCTTGCTGTAAATGTATGCTGAATATTCGTAAAGTGTACGCTATAAATTTTGCTGAACACATCCCCTGTGTCTCAAGTCCAAGAGAACAGTATCTTCCACCTTGGGGAATCAAGTACTTGATGCTAAAAATATGTGTGACGTGCCCCAAATGCTGATGTGTAGCAGAGGCTAATCTTGGGCAAAAAGTGGATGGGCTCATCACACAAACAGCCCTTCTGTGGTGCAGTTGTACAGATGTGTACAGTGGTACCTTGGGTGACATACGCTTCAGGTTACATGTGCTTCAGGTTACAGACTCTGCTAACCCAGAAATAGTGCTTCAGGTTAAGAACTTTGCTTCAGGATGAGAACAGAAATTGTGCTCCGGCGGCACGGCAGCAGCGGGAGGCCCCATTAGCTAAAGTGGTGCTTCAGGTTAAGAACAGTTTCAGGTTAAGAATGGACCTCCAGAACGAATTAAGTACTTAACCTGAGGTACCACTGTACTCAGAAATAAACTCCTTTGGGTTCAATGGAACTTACTCCCAGGTAAGCATGTATAAGATCACAGCCTTGCTTATCCAGTTAATAAAGGCAGGATATATAGAAAACAGTGCCTAATTCTAGGGAGTCCCTTAATACAATGGTCTTCCATTAATAGTATGCACACTTACTACAAACAACTTTTTATTCTAGGCAACGAATAGCGCTAGTGTCAGGGACTGGACAGAGGAGGAGTGGTGGAGACCGCCTCCCCAGCCTGAACCTTCCAGAGAAGAGGAAGACACATATAAATTTAAAACAGTGGTTTGCGGGAGGTCACAGCTCAGATACAGATGAAGGGCAAAGTTGGGAAATAATGGGAGAGGAGGAGGAGGCAGAGCCAGAACAGCTGGCTGACATGTTATCACTAGAAAGCATTCCAGACCCCCCATTTCTAAGAACCCAGCGAGCATTGAAAGTAGGAGAGCAAAGGGCTTGGAGACAAATGGCCCTAAGCAGCCACCATAAGGTGGGTGGTGCTGTTGACGATTGAGGAAGTGGAGAGAGGGGTGTGGAGATTTACTCGGAGCAACACCATTACTCCAAGAGACTGCATTTCTAAGCCTCTCTCTGTGAATGTTGAATAAAATGCATTGGTAAGAACTTTCCTTGTCTTATCCATTCCTGGCGGGGGGGGGGGGGGGGTTGGATCAGATTGCCTGATGCCTGACAGCTAGCTCTTAGCCTAGTTACAACTTAAGCTGTGGAGAAACTACACTAATTAAAATATTACATTTGAAAAATAATTTCGTTAGATACAGGAATAATAGATTTTGCAGAAAAAAGAGTAAAATGAGTATATGCTGCCACAACGTCTAGAACAGCTGCCCCATGATAGCCCTGAAGGGGCTGCAGCTCAGGGGCAGAGCACTTTCGATGGAAAAGGTTGCAGGTGTATTATCAGTCACCTGCCTGAAACCCTGGAGAGACACTGCTAGTTAGTGTAGACAATACTGGGCTAGATGGACCACTGGACTTACACAGCCTCAGGCAGCTTCCTATGTTCTATGGGGAAGGGCTGTAGCTCAGTGGTAATTGTATTTGCTTTGCATGCAGAAGGTCCCAAGTTCAATCCCTGGCATCACCAGGTAGGGCCGGGAGAGATCTCTGCCTGAAACCCTGGAGAACTTGGTATAGCACAGCCAGCACAGTTGTGGAGATGGTCAGGATTGCAGCCTAAGACATAATATATGGTGGGAAGCAGCACTCAGTCCTGGAAACTGGTGCTCTCCAGAAGATCAGTGTGATGATCCCCGAACTCTGTGTTCCCATCACATCACTGATCATCTCCCCTCAACATTTTGTAGATTTCCACTGGTCTGATCAGTTACAACGACAGTGGTACCTTGGGTTAAGAACTTAATTCGTTCCGGAGGTCCGTACTTAACCTGAAACTGTTCTTAACCTGAAGCACCACTTCAGGCTAATGGGGCCTCCTGCTGCTGCCGCGCCGCCGGAGCACGATTTCTGTTCTTATCCTGAAGCAAGGTTCTTAACCTGAAGCACTATTTCTGGGTTAGCGGAGTTTGTAACCTGAAGCGTATGTAACCTGAAGTGTATATAACCCGAGGTACCACTGTATTGCCATAACATATTTGTTCTTTCACAACACCTGTGACAATCACAGTGATCAAAAGCATCATATGAAGGAATGCTAGGTGTAACAAATTTGCTTCTAAAATGGAAACGAAGAAAATGAATTTGAAATATGTCACAATAATTCCACAGCTGCTCACTTTTTAAAGAGGTCCAAACACCTATCATCTTTATCTTATAAGACATTTGTATTCCAGCACTTTTTTTTAGTAACACCCTTCCCACCAATATTTAGTTTACATGCAATAGGTTTATTACAACAACAAGGAAGTTCTTGGTTGTGGTGATTGAAGTGGAAGCCTTTGTGTTACCTTTAGTAGGCAACAACCCAATGTAATGGGGGAAGGCATAGAATATGTAGCCTGTGCAATGACTTTTGTTAGTGCAGTGGGGCTTCCCCCCTCTCTTCTCCCTGTGCTCTCCAAAATCGGCTCAAGGGGGATCAGGAGAACATCTGGAACAGCACATGGGAGGGGGAGGAAAGGGCAGATGTTCCACCAGGCAAGCAGAAATCTATTTAGTGCTATGTTGAATTGCACCTATAGACACTCTCTCTCTCTCTCTCTCTCTCTCTCGGTGTGTGTGTGTGTAAGTGTAAAAGAACCCCTTTTACCAGTGTTGAATATAGTGAACTATCTTTAAATTAATGCTACCTAGGGTAGGCTTAATATAGTTGCTACTAGCAAACGACATGAGTGAACGTTACTATAGCAACTTCCCCACATCATGGTGCTTATTCTACTTTTGGGATACAGAGCATTTTCTTAAAGGCTTCTTAGAAGTAAAGGAAGAAATCACTATTGTTTAAGGTTTTTATTATCTAGCACTCTAGTTTTCACAGATCCAACCTGGAAAGTCGATACTAAAAAAAGAGAGAGAGAGAATAGATAATTAAAAGGCAGAGAAATATTGTGTCTTCCTGATATACTGTTTTATTTACACATACATACCAGCAGAGCTTGAGATGGAAGCGCTCACAGCATGTACACTCCCATCTTAAAGATGCCATCTCTGCTACCCCCAATCATAAGGACATGAGAAGGACCCACCTGGATCAGACCAAAGGCCCACCTAGATTAGCATCCTGTTCTCATAGTGGCCAACTATGTACCAGTGGGAGCAGCACACAGCCATCATGACTATGAGTCATTGATAGCCTTATCCACCATGTATTTGTCTAATCCACTTTTAATGCCAACCAAGGTGGCAGCCTATTCTATCATTTAACAATTTGTGATGTGCAGAAGTGAGCAACCTGGCCACTGAATTCTGAACCATCTTCAGATGCAGCCCCACATACAACACGTTGCAGTAATCCGGTAACCTTTTCTCTTAGGAAGTTGCTCTAGCCTTTGGATCATTTTAGTTGGCCTTTTCTGAACTTTCCCTAGCTCAGTAGTGGTCTCTTTCCAGCTGTGAGAACGAGAACTCGACACAGCATTCCGTAGATCTGTATAATAGCATTATGATGTTGGCAGCAGCTTTTCTGATGATCCCAGAATGGCAAACCCTGTAAGTATTGAGGCAAAACTTTCTAGCATTATCCAAAAGTTTGCCCTTAAAAGGAAATAATTGCCACAAACATGGCCTCAGTTTATTCATATGAAGATGTGTGAGCACTAGGCATACCTACTTGAAGCAAACCTTATTAAGATCCAAAAGTAGGGAAGGGGTGGAAATACATTTGGCTCCCAGCTAGAACTGGTGAGAAGAAAAGCTGACAAAATTATCTGTGGTATGTGCCGGCACACCTGATTCTCTCATCACTCAAGGATTGGGGTGTACACAACATTATCTCATATCCTGCAATTTCCCGTTTTTTCCCTGAGAGAGCGCGACGACCATTTTGGGTGCCAAGATCTCACACAAAATTGCACTTCTTTTGGCTGCAATCTTGAGTGGCACCCCAAAACACACATTTTTGGGTGCCACGAAACCAAGGCTCCGAAAAAGCACACATCTTTTGGGCTTCGTGATCTCGTACAGGTCATGTGATTTGTGCAGGAGCATGAACAGGAAGACACGCATCCCAATTTGGGGACTCAACACGTTGGAGGGCATGTTATATTAGCTTAAATTTAAACCAAGACTGTGTGATCCCCCCTTAACTTTGCATTCACAAATAATCTGGCATGTTTGCTACTTTGCGTTAGGGGTGCATGTATAAATTAGGGCACAAGATCAGTCTAGCACTGGCAGTGTTTCGAAGTGCTTGTGGACTGTAGCTGAACGATTTGACTATCTAGGCCCCATGTGTTGTTGCTCTATCAGCATGCAAATGGTGCACAATAGATTTGTGGCTGGGGACTAGCCACATGGGTTGGGTCTATATGCACAGAAGTATGTCAAAGGCCAGCACTACTTTTAAAAAGATGCCGGAAGCTCTTTGTAGCTAGCGGTTGCATTAAGCAGCTCTTAAATCCAGGTGAAAGGCCACCATCATATATGAAATGCCTAAAAAAAGAAAAGAAAAAGGCAATCCTAATTTTTTACTATGTTAACCTGTGGCGCTTGCTGGTGAGAACAGCACCCTAGGTTAATGAGCTGCGAGTTTAAACAGTGGTTGAAGAAGATGGTTTTAAATATAGAATTGGATTTGTTTTTAATGCCTGTTGCTTTCCCGGGGCTTCTGAATCCAAAGGCCTTCCACTGAGGGAAAGCTTTTCATTTCACATTTTGGCCTCCACCACAGGCGACAAACAAAGGTTCCACATTGCTGTGGCTGGGGTCAGTTCTCCAGCCGCAGTGTCAATCCCACTGCCTGTAATTACGCACACAAAAAAAGGTTACCGAGATCTGCGGCTAATTTGCCATCTCTGTTTAGCAGAATTTAATAGCAGGTATTACTGCTGCCGCAGTAATTAAGGACCTTTGTCAATAAGACGGAATAGATGGCCACACTTTGTTGTAATCAGTGGACTCTTGAGAAGCCATAGGAGTGAAAAGCAATGAGAGGGAGCAATCCATTTTGTGAATAACTCGCCAGCTCCCCTTTTCCCTCTTCCCCATCTCGTGAAAACCAGCAAGGGAATAATAATTCCCCAGGCGATGAAAGTTCAGGAATAAAAGTACTTACCCTCCAGCCTATTCTCTCTCTCTCTCCCCCCCCCCCCGCTTTTTATTTACCCTACTGTGATTTTTATTTGCTTCAGGCTGCATTTGATGAAGTATTGTTTAAACAGCTCTTGGGAGGAGACCCCCCCCAATACATACAAACAAACCTGGATATAGGGAGATGGCAGAGGAAGAAAGAGGAGGAATTTTAACCAGGCTGGATGATATGCATTTGCCTCAAAGGTGGAGGGCGCTCAGTTGATCAATTATTTCCTTTAGGTTTTAAAATGAAAGAAATGACAAAAAACAAGTGGGCTGGTGAAGAGGCAGAGAAAGTCATTTTGAGCTGTCTCTGCTCACAGTCATTCAGCTGTAAATGGGTCACTAACAACAAGCGAGAAGTGAACTTGGTGTAGCATTGTAAACGGCCCCCTCCCCCCTTTTCCTCTCCCCCCCCCCCGCCTCACCACTAATGTACCCAATGAATGGCCTGGCATAAGACAGAGAGGGAGAGGTAAAGACTATCAGAAGCTGAAGAGAGAGGAGAAAAGAGAGGCTGCTATAACACAATTCAAAGAGTGCTTTAAGGTGTACACTCCTCTCAGTAATTGGTGAAGAAGCTACATTTCACTCCACTGATTTCCTGCCTTTTTACAGGTTTTAACAAGCATGATGCTTTTAATAGTAGTTTGAGTACTGGGCCTTTATGAAGCCTCTTTTTTTAAAAAAAGCAGCTTTAACTATACCCTTTTCTGTCCGTAATGCCTGAAAAACTTCTACCTTTAATCATTCCTGGATCAAGCAGCAAACAAGCACCCCCTCCTCTTTTTTCCTCCTCCTTTCTTTTCTTTTCTTTTTTCAATTACATCCTGGATATTCACTGAACATAAAAAAAACCCACCCACCCACCATCCCTCTACACAGCATTAAATGCAGCTTGGCCATCCACCTGTTAACTTCAAGGATCTGGCTTCATCCAACAAAAGCTAGAAATATAAAGTGAAAGGGACTGTAGTCATAGGCAGTGGGTGGTAATGCCAACCAGTGAATCTTTTCCTTGAAAGTCTTAATTGCAAGTTGTTGTTGTTGCTGCTGTTATCCTCATCCTCATCCATTTATTAATTGCCTTCTGAGCCAAAATCTCAATGCAATTTACGTATAAGATAATTAGAAACAGTTATTATTCTTATTCTTATTTTAGGACTATCATGAGTGCCCACTAGTTAAGGTTTTAAAGACCCATTTATTGAGCTAGGAAAGACCGTCGGAACAAAAATGTCTTCAATTGTTTCCAGAAAGTGCAGATAGTGACTGCCAGTTGCATCTCATCAGGAATCCTATTCCACAGAATGGGGCAGCCACAAGCTGTCTATTTTACAACAGAGTTTCATGGGTGGTGGTGGTGGTGGTGGTTGTTGTCATTACCACCACCACCAA